AACTGTACCCCGTGATCTAGTGCAAGGACCTAATGTAAAATTCATCAAGATGAGATTTCAAGGCATAGGATAGGATAGCTCCTAGGTGTCAATACTGTATAGTAAAACTGGCAGTATCAGAGGCCTGAAAACAAATTGGTCCTTGGTACCGGTATTCCAAGTACTCCTGTCAAGAGAGTTCACGGCCCCTGCTGAAAAGGCAATCCATTTACTGACCTTTGTCTATCAGCCCAGGGTCATGAACTACATTACCAAGTTATGTCAAGCACTACCGACCAAACAGGTTCTCACAGAAGGCCCCCAAAGTCCTGAATCTTGTCCAAAGAAACCTCTAAACCCAGGAGCTGAATTGCTGAATGCATCTAGAGCCATCACCAGAGTTTCCAAAGATTCAGAATAGCAACGTCATCAGCAAGTTGTTTGTACAAGAACACAGCCTCACTCAGAACAGGGAAGTTGGAAAGGTTCCCACCAAACTAAAGCACATTCAGTATTAGTATACAGACTTGTTGGGATGTCTCTGTCTCAGAATCTCAGAGCACTTCCAGATCCACAGTATTGAATACCTTGAGGCTGCAAGCAGCCCTTGGCTGGACTCACAACGGTACTCTACAGTGACTTGAAGCTCTAGGATATGGTCTCTTGTGGACTTACCAGGAATGAATCCAGATTGCTCTGGCCTCTAGTGCCTCAGTAGGTAGTTTCTGATTCATTACAGAAGGATGTAAGTGAGGACCTTGCCTGAGCAGTATAATACTCCAGTGATTGCTGCAGTCCCATCGATTTCTTTCCCCCTTCCAGAGAGGGATGACCACACCCTCAACAGGTCAGGAGGAATGGTACCAGTTGCCAGAAAGCAACTAGGACAGCATGGAAACCCCACGTCATAGGTTCACCACCAGCCTTTAACAGTTCAGCTGTAATGCCACAGATACCCACTGCTTTACCACTCTTCAGCTTGGAGATCGCCCCCCTAAATTCACATAGGGATGTAACCACGCTGATGGATGGGTCTTGCAAAAGGATCTCGACACTACCTACATCCAAGTTAACTGTTGGTGGATCAACCCTGTACTACTTAAAATACTCAGCCCAATGTTCCTCAACAGGATCTGAGATAATCTGGCCATCTACTATGCAGATTGCAGTCACCTAGGATTCAGCTTTTTTCAGAGCTCGAAAGGCAGGACGAAGGTCATTTACTAAGAAAAAGCCTTTGACCTCTACAAGATTCCTATTAACTGTTCCTTTTCCCTTCTCAACAGAGACTGAGTCCTTCGCACCTGAGAACGACGCAAGTCAGAGGAACTGTGCAACAAGCATCTGTGGCCTGCAGTTTCTTCTGCAAGATGGTATTTTGTCTTGCTCTTGTGCTTTCGCCAATTGATTCTCGAGTTGCATATATATATATATATATATATATATATATATATATATATATATATACAAACATATATGTGTATATGAATATATTATATATATGTATACGTAAAGTATATAAATTATATATATATATATACAATATGCATACATGATATTTATATCTATATATGTATATATTTAAATGGCAGTAGATCAAGATTTTTAGAATCTATCAATGTTGTTGCCGTTATCGTTATCAGTAGCATTATCTTAAGTAATATTACTACTTGTAATAGCAATATGCAGTATTATCAGGATCTATGTGCTTTATTGCTATTATGTGGTATTAAAATATAAGTATATATACATATACATACATATATATATATATATATATATATATATATATATATATATATATATGGATTGTACCTATATCTATATATAAACGCTGTTACTTTACAGACAAACTAGCAATAATACAGGATGTCGAAAATGCAGATTACAAAGTAGTTCATACCTTTCATATAATCCCCTCAAGCACCTTGCAATACTGATTGCTCTTGAACAAATGCAATTACCAGCCCTTATATTTTTATCAGCTCCATATTGATAAGAGACAAAGGCAGTGGGATGAGAGGCCCCGCAGAATGCACTTGTATGCCACTAATTTTAATCACTGCTTGGAAATAGGGATTCATTGGAACAAGTGCTTTTCAATGAAGCCTTACAATTGAATGGCGGCAGAGCAACGGGAGATATTGGTCTCCCGCCACAGATATTTGCAGTTGGCGACCGAGCGATGGGGAGGCGGAGCACGCACGCAGCTGGGGCTGCCTCCGATGCGCTTTTGTTTTCGTGATCGATAGATTATTCAAAATTATCTGCCGCATTAACAGCAAAGGTCATTAGCGGTGAATATTTCGTATTTTTTGTATTTGAATATTTAGGATGTTTAAAGCGCTATCAAAAATTAAAGAATCTTAAGTAAAAATAAATAGATATATTAAAATCAAATATATATTATGCATAAAATGTGAGTGTGAAGCGGTTTGCCTCTTTTCTGGCAAACTTTGAATATGTGTCATCTTTCTGTGTTTTTTTCAAACTCAGTGTCTTAATGTATTTATTTGAACAC